GCTCTGATTGCTCAGGAGAGGGTCACATGACTATCTCTGAACCAATCACTGCAATCGGGGCATAGGGTACACTGATTCATCTCTGAGGTATGGAATTGGCATTCATTTCACCCAAACTCCATGGACTGAGACAGTGGGGCAGAGGTAATCCCATGGAGGGAAATTAAGATGCTCTTACCAGAGAGAAGGAGAAATGTACAGGTGGGTGGAAGAAATGGGCAGGTGGAAGCAGCAAATGTCCACTAGAGGCACTCTGCCTCATTACCAAAGGGATGGGGGGGGGGGGGGGAAGGTGTGACAGCGTGCCACTTGGTAGGAAGGTGATAGTGTTGATTCATTTACTTCTTGCAAGAGAATTGGGAGAATAACCACTCAGGTATCATGCTGCCAGGCAGGGAGGGAGGAGCCACAGTGGTAGCCACCAGCCCACATGCCCCTAAACTTCCTACCCATGTGTCATCTAGGATGCATGTGCCATGGAGCATTTCCCTGGGAACATGAACCCCAGATACCTGTTGGTGCCTCGGGACAATCCAGACAACTTACCCCCTGTCATGAAATCTGCTGCTTGTCAGGGCTTTAACTCACCCAGCTCAGCTCATCAGTGGTGGGCATCTGTGAGTTTGAGACAGAGCACTTCCTTACGCAGGTAAATACCCAGAACAAAGACATCGTTAGGAGCCATTACAGAAGAGCGCTTTGCACTAACTGCTGCATATAATGTTCGCTTCCTCTTTGCTGATATTACCAAATGAGGGCTGTTTCTTAATGATTCATTTTTATTATCATTATCATTGTCACAAGGATCATCTAGTTCATTTATACTGCACTTGTTGCTGTGGAATCTAGATGATGGTCCTCAGGGCTGGTTCTGCCTATCTGCTCATGTGACGCAGGCTGCAGGGGTGCGGCCATTCTGCAGTGCTTCTTCAGAGCTCCCCAGAGCTCACATAACACCATAATGCCCTGCTCTGTTCCCTGTCGGTGCCCCCTACTAAATCGTGAGGTGCTTAAACAACAGGGATAGTCCCTTTGATGCCCAGTGTCCTTTGGACCCAGAACATTATAACCACTCACCAAGTGCTTGTAGAAGAAATGCCAGGCATAGTGATTGCAAAACAACGAGGAATAAGGCATAGCCCCTAACCTTAAGGAACTTCAAGTTTATTCATTACAGAAGTAACAATACTAAGGATGGCACCAGCTGATGTTAACCAATTGTTATGTGTGAGATGCTGAGCTAAGTGCTTTGCATACTGGTACATTATCTCATTTAATGATCTTGACAACCTCCCCCCATGTTACATACTATTACTACCCCCATTTTACAGGTGAGGAAGCTGAAGTTTATGGAGTAGGCTAATATCCTATCATTGGAAAATGGTCGAATCAGGGTTCTAACCCAAGTCAACCTGATTATAATGCATATTTCTAGCCACTAAAATAACACATCTTTAAAGGCAGGATGAATAAAATGTATGGGAGAAGCTGAAATAAATTAATTCCCAAAGTATTGGCAGGGAGTTTCTTCATCAAACCAAATCTTGGATAAAGGTAGTCAGGTGGTCCAGTTTTTATAGGGAGCCTTTGAGGAACCTCCAAGCAGAGAGCTGGAGATGTGTCGGTGACACTGCCTGAATGCCCATGGGAATGTACGTGGGCCCTGAAACCAGCAAGCACCTCCTGCTCCCCATGGAAAGGAAGTATCTGCACGCTTCACTAAACATGGCGTCAAAAGAGCAAGATGGCTGTGCTCTGCCCCTCCCAAGTTTACGTTTTCACAGAATATAAAGAGAAATCTCAGAACGCCATTGAGAAATGGAGATTGGGGACCTCATCTGTTAAACTGTGTGCTTTTTAACTTACCCCAAGCAACTCTTCCTGCTGCTCTTTATCATTTCCCCACAGAGACCTGAGCAGGAGCCAGAGAAAAGGGCAGCACAGGGGGGAGCCCCTCGAGAGGTCATCAGGGAAGGAATGGATGGGGGAGTGGGGCAAGGGACCCTGAGGAGAGAAAACCAAAGCGAGTAGTTGGCCTGAGGCCAAGTGCGTAGCAGAGACCCTGCAGACGGGTTGAGCGTAAGAAGCCTTCTTCCCAGGGAGCCGGTCACCGCTCAGAGCTGTCCCTCCGGAGCAGGCGTGTGGAGCTGTGGGAGATGTTTGTCATTGTCAGTAATCTCCTCTTGTCATTCAACAAACGGTGACCATGTGTGGATAGCGTGTGTGTGCACTGAGCAGGTAATGGGCAACCATGAAGAGCGGTTTTCCCACAGGGAATCTCCTGTGGGATGCAGATGATATGGTGGGGTAAGCAGGGGGTCTCTGGGATTATAAGGAAGATGGAATTACTAAAGGAAGCTCGTGTGTTGAAGAAAAACGTGTTTGTGACACTTGTTAGAGATGGTAAGGAAGACTTGATTCGGAAAGGTGGGACCATGCCATGGCGCTTTGTAATAGGGGAGAGAGATGGGTCTCAGCTCTGAACACAGCAAGGAAAACTGGTCATTCATAGCAGGGGCAGAGTGGAGGTCAGTGGATGGAAAATTCCTAAAATGAAACATCAGGGATAAGGAGGGTGCCGGCAAACCTGATCTAACAGGATTCCTGCTGACGGCAGGCCAGAGTGATCAGACATACCTGGGGGATGTGGAGAAGAGAAACCTGATTAGATATCAGCGGTGATCAGATACTGAGGATTCTGGCTAAACAGACTTAGCTGGATTTTTTGCTAAAATTGAATAATGCAGAGACAAACTCAGATATCCAAAAGGCCTCCTTGGAAAATAACTCAGGAGAGCCTGAGTAGAGCAGGGTCAAGCAGAAAATCATTGCCAATACCTGTCCAGGCCGAGGGGCAGAGAGTGAGCTGTGATGGGCTTCAGAGAGCTAAGTGAGCACTGGAAACTGAATAGCATTTACCCAAGCAAAGCACTGGAGTAGGAGCAAGGTGCCAGAGGGTTTTCTTAGAAGCAAAAGAAGCAAAGCTCATCCCAGCTGCTGTAGCTCAGTGGTTGAGCATTGACCTATGAACCAGGAGGTCACGGTTCGATTCCTGGTCAGGGCACATTCCCAGGTTGTGGGCTCAATCCCCAGTGTGGGGCGTGTAGGAGGCAGCTGATCAATGATGCTCTCTCATCATTAATGTTTCTATCTCTCTCTCCCTTCCTCTCCAAAATCAATAAAAATGTATTTTTAAAAAAGAAGAAGAAGAAGCAAATCGGGCCATAAAAGACAGCATGACATTTCTAGGAACTACCGGGAACTTGGTCCAATTTGGGCTCAGAAGGAGGAGTGGGAAGTGGCCAGAGATGGCACTGGGCCGGCCACCCTCAGAGTTTGGCCTTCATCCTGGAGCCAATGGGGCCCTCCGTCACCAGGTTTTCCTTCCAAGTGACAGCTGTCTTGGGTGGTTAATGCCACAACTACCAATGATTAAAAAAAAAAAAAAAAAGATGCTGGCTCTTTGAAAACATCCGATTCTAAGGCTCAATCATCTTGCAGACAGATCCAAAGAAAGCACTTGGGCCATCTTTCTCTGGTTACAAGTGCAGGGTCTTGGTGTCCTGATATTATGAGAACCACCATAACATGAGAAGATGCATTTTGGGCTTGAGGGCAGGTCAGAAATCACATACCTTTTCTAGCCTAATTTCTGCTCAGTGAATTTACCTTAGCGGCACCTGAGAATTATTACCTGGACAGTTTTAAAAGAAACACTGATGCCCGGGCCACCCTCAGAGAGGCACTGGCATTTTTTTTAAAGCTCCCCTGTACCCTGTGCAGCCAGGAGGGGAAATGACAGGAAAGTGCACAGCTTAGCAGCCTTTATTCTTGATAAGAGACCGGACTCCCCTTGCTAGGTACTCTTGTTACGAAGATTCTGGGTCAAACTTTGCTCACCTTCTTGGCAGATCTTCAAAAGCTGCCTGTGGCACCTGCTGAGACCTCTTCGTGTCCCACCCCCTTTTTACAGATGGCTGCAAAAGGGCCTTGTTCTAAAGCCAAATACGGGAGAGAGACAGCTGGCGCAGGAGGCTGACCTCACCCATCTCTGGTCACCTGAGGCCATCCTCTCACTCCCTGAGCCCTGCTGTCTGGGCGGCACTGAGTTTTGTCAAGGATTCCTTTTCCCCTGTAGTTCCCCGGAAACTCCAAGCAGGCCTCATTAGCACATTACTCACGCTCCCCCAATCCCATACACCAACCTCCTCCTCATCCCCACCTCCAAATCTATTTTTTTCTATTTGTCCTTTATTTTTTTTTTTTCAGTGCAGTTGGGTTTTGTTCCCTGTGCCCTGAAAAGCACGTTTGGAATGGAAATGTTACTGGAAGGCAGCGGGTGACTCAAAGCTCCAGGGTCCCGGCCCATCACCTCTCACGCCCTCTGCATGTCAGGACCACCGAGAGACAAGGCCTTTAATACTTCCCCAGACACTGCTCGGTTTGGCTCCTTCCTCATTGAGACAGCAAATCGTTAACTCTGAGCCCCGGGTTGTTTCTTGTAGCAATTAACAGCTGCCCTGGTGTTAATTCCCAATCAATAGCCCCTCCATGCTGCTCCTACAGCTGTCCGCTTCTGGCCTCCACAGCAATTCAGAGAGTAACTTGTTGGGGTCCTGAGACTGCTCTTCCCACTGCTCCCAGGAAAGCCCTCACAGACCCCTCAGAGAAAGTCAGAGGTCAAGGGCCAGCATGAGCAAGCTGGGGCTCCGCCCCCCTCCTTCAGGGTGAATGGGAGACATGAGGAACCAGGTCCCCCCTGGAGTAGCAGCAGCCCCTTGGCCTTGGGGTAGTCATGAAGCTTTCATTTTTCCATTTTGGCTTATTTTTCTTTTCATTCTTTTTTCTGTTTGTCTTGAGATGGCTGTATTTTCCCTCCATCTACCAAAAAGCACACAAAACAACAACACCAAAAAACCTCTCATACAATCAGTCTTTTTTTTTTTTTTTTAATTCAAATAGCCATCATTTCTCATTTTGCCTGTGGTTGCTTCCTGCAGCTCCCTGTGGACAGAATGAGACCCGAGAGGACGGCAAAATAATCCAGCTGCCTCCCTGCAAGACCGGAGCCTGGATCGTGCCCGCCATCATGGCCTGCTACCTGTTAGTGGCGAACATCCTGCTGGTCAACCTCCTCATTGCTGTCTTCAAGTACGTGGACCCTTCCCCCGGAGCCCTTGGGGGGAAGTTGGGGCGCCGGGAGGGCGTGCTGCTTCAGAGAGCCGTGGAATATCTCATTGAATTCTCTCTGCTCTCTATTTCAGCAATACATTTTTTGAGGTAAAATCAATATCCAACCAAGTGTGGAAGTTCCAGAGGTACCAGCTCATCATGACTTTCCACGAAAGGCCTGTCCTGCCGCCGCCTCTGATCATCTTCAGCCACATGACCATGATATTCCAGCACCTGTGCTGCCGCTGGAGGAAGCACGAGGGCGACCCTGATGAAAGGGACTACGGCCTGAGTAAGCTTCGAGGGACAGCCCCCAGCAGCCGCACCCCCATAGCCCCACTGCTGCCTGTTGGCGGTCCTGCAGGACCACGGTCTCTGACCACTGGGACAGGAACAGAGGGGTGCGCTTGCCACAGAATCAGGGCCAGAAAGAAGACAGCAGAGGCTGAAAGCAAGCATTCTTAGCCTCACATCTTTCTTCCTTTTTTTTCCTTTCTTTTTTTTTTTAAACCCTTGCCTGAGACACGCTTATTGATTTTAGAGAGAGGGGGAAGGGAGGGAGAGAAAGTGAGAGACAGAAAGAGAGAGACACACATGCACGCGCACACAGAGAGAGAGAGGGAGAGAGAGAGAGAGAGAATGGGAAACATTGTTTGTTTACCCCCCATACATGCCTTGACTGGGGGCTCAAACCTGAAACCTAGGTATGTACCCTGACTGGGAATCGAACCCGTGACCTTTCAGTGCATGGGACCGAGCCACACTGGCCAGGCCAGCCTCACATCTTTCTTAGTGAGACAAAACCAGCCTCCAGCAGGGCTGTTTTAGCGCCTCCCTAGGTTCTAAGTTTCTTACTTTGCAGAGGTCCCTCCACAAAATCTATCAGCCATATTTATATACTCCCAAGACTGTGCTATATGTCATTTGAGCCTCTTACATGAGTTGAGTTGCAGGTGACTACGTTTGATTTTCCATTATCGTTTCTGGACCCACCATTTTGTAGGCCTTGAACGTTTTCCGAGCCTTAGAGGTTGTGCCTATGTGGCTGTGTGAGGACAGCAGCCCTGCTGTCCAGTATTCAAAGGGCAAAACAGAAGCCCCTCCACCATCCTTCTAATCCGGTGTTTCTAAAAGGAGGTTCTGTTAGCACTGAGGCAGATTATATTTCAGTGTATAGGACTGTCCCACACAGTAGGGGATTTAGCACATCCCACCTCCAATCATTGAAAAGCAATCACTCCTGCAGAATGCTAAATGTCCCTTGGGTACCACCCACAGTGAAGAACCATTGGGCATCCAGCCCCATCCGAGCAAGCTACAATGGTTTCTCTACTGAGCGAGCCTCTAGAACAAAGGCCCAGAAATTCCCTCAAGGTGAACACTGGTGGGTCTAAAGTTTGAAACCAAAACCATTTAACCACTTGCTTCTCTAAGACTAAAGCTTTTAACAGCAATGCCAGCTTCTTTCTAGATATTAAAATTGGAGAGTTGGAAGGGACTGAGAATTCCAAAGTTCACTATTTCCATCTAAAATATAAATTTAAACCAACAGAAAGCTGGTGAGGAGGTGAGGGTTCAGATTCACAGTGGATCATTTTCTATGCCTGTATCAATCAGTTATAAATTATTTTACCTGCTATTAACAGAACACCAGCCTAACAACAGCACAAATAAATAAGGTTTTTCCCTAGCTGCTTTGGCTCAATGGATAGAGCATTGGTCTGTAGATGGAAGGGTCCCAGGTTTGATTCAGGTCATTGACCTCATTATGGGCTCCAGGGCTGTGTGTGGGAGGCAACCAATCAATGTATCTCTCTCACATAGACCTCTCTCTCTCTCTCTCTCTCTCTCTTTCTCTTTCTCTTTTTCCCTCCTTCCCTCTCTCCCTCCCTTCCTCCCTTTTTCCTTTCCTCTCTCCCTCCCTTCCTCCCTCTTCCTTCAACTTTATCTAAAAAAAAAAAAAAAAAAAAAAAAGAGGAAAAATATCCTTTCTGAGAATTAGAAATCTTATTTAAAAATAATAAAATAAAGCCCTAGCCCAGTGGTAGGCAAATGCATTGGTCAACAGAGCCAAATGTCAACAGTAAAATGATTGAAAAAATTTTTTGATTGAGAACCAAATTTTTTCAACTTAAACTTTTTCTAAAACCACTTCTTCAAAATAGACTCGCCCAGGCCGTGGTATTTTGTGGAAGAGCCACACTCAAGGGGTCAAAGAGCCACATATGGCTTTCGAGCCTCAGTTTGCCAACCACAGCCCTAGACTGTTTGGCTCAGTGGACAGAGCGTTGGCCTGTGGACTGAAAGGTCCCGGGTTCGATTCCGGTCTAGGTCACTACCTGTGTTGCTGGCTCGATACCCTGTGGGGGACATGCAGGAGGCAGCTGATCAATAATTCTCTCTCATCGTTGATGTTTCTATCTCTCTCCCTCTCCCTTCCTCTCTGAAATCAATATATATATGTGTATTAAAAAAAGGTTGAGTAAAAAATATTTTTTAAAAAATAATAAAAATAAACATAAATAAGGTTTTATTTTGCTCACAAAGCAACTAGGTGGATAAGACAGAGCACCACAGTGGCTCACTGAAGTCACAGACCCAGAGTCCTATTTTTAGGATCAGCTATTTGTGAATGCACTGTCTTGTCTCACGGTAGCAAAATAGCTGCTGCACTTTCCGTCATCATTTATGTTCAGGCAAAAAGAAAAGGGGAAGGTAAAAAAAAAAATGTAGAAAGACGCAGCCGCATCACTACAGTTTATCAGGAAAGAAAAATCTCTTCCCTGCCTGCAGTTTCTTGGGCTAAACTGGGTCTCACCTTCAAGGAAAGCTGGAAATGTGTGCATTTGGCTTTCCAGCCTCAGTGGTAGGAAGTGGGAAAGGGGAAAAGAGGTTGCAAAGGGGCTTTTAGTAAGGCCAGTGAACAGTATCTGTCTGTCACATTCTTCAGCCCAGAAATTGAGCTTGCTTATTTACTTATTATTTACTTATTTATTATGGATTGCAGAAAGGAATGGAGGAGAACATAGAAACATCAATGATGAGAAACATTGATCGGCAGCCTCCTGCATGCCCCTTCCTGAAGATCAAGCCCGCAACTTGGGCATGTGCCCTGACCAGGAAATTGAACTGTGATCTCCTGGTTCATAGGTCGATGCTCACCCATTGAGCCACAATAGCCAGGCTGGAAATTGAACGTTTGAGAAACCTCCATGCGTTGTGTACCTTTCCTTGATTTAGCTACTTGTTTGGCCTTACAATTTGAATGGTTGTGACCAGTCCCTGTAGTAAATCTGCTACTTTCAGATGAACTTCAAAGAACAATAGTGATTCTAATGCACAGGAAGAGGACAGTGACACACTTTTCCTGACTGGGTTTGGGTTTAGTTTGAGATTTAGCAGAGAATCGGGGCCCATTTGCCTAACCTTGGTTCAGATTTGGAATGCCATAAGGCGCACAGATCAGGTGCCATCACTTTTACTTCTCTGCCTCACACCTCATTTCTCTTCCACAGAACTGTTCATAACTGATGATGAGCTCAAGAAAGTGCATGATTTTGAAGAGCAGTGCATAGAGGAGTATTTCAGAGAAAAGGATGATCGCTTCAACTCGTCCAATGATGAGAGGATACGGGTGACTTCAGAAAGGTAAGTTCGCTGGTCACATGTCTCCTGGGATGTTTTATGCCTTGGCATGCTTCATCTGTTGCTTTTGTTTGTGCAGCCATACACATACAAATATCAGAGACCCCTTGTATTTCTTTGTATTGTCCAAGAAATTGTGAAGCTTATGAGAGCACAGAACGTTGTCTGAAGGGTTCACAGATCAGTATCCCAGACATACAGATCCTAGAGTCTCCAGCAGGCAGAGGCAGCCATTTTTCTGGACACTAGACATGGCTATGTTCAAACAGCACAGGAGTTCCTGGCTCAAACCCGAAATCAGAGAGTTCTGGCCCAGACGCAAACCAAGAGAAACCCAGCCCACCCCAAGGCTCTCCAGCAGGTCTGTGTATGATGTCCACCCTATCTTCTCCAAAGTATAGATAGTCCTGGTGCCTGGCCTACATGCATGCTCAGTACCTTCCAAATAAACAATAGCATGAGGCTTGTGAATTACATAGAATAATGGTTGAGGTTTTGGGGATTTTTTCAGGAATTATTATTTTTTTTCTTACGTTAACAAGACAAAAGCCAAGGAGTAAACGCAGGGTTTTTTTCTACCCAGTGGTCACATATTTTTAGATCTCATTGACCAAATGGTTTTGTGGACTAGCAGGGCTCTAAGGAAAATCTCAAAATAAACAGGAAAGAATAATTTTCATTTAACAAGTCTAGCTTTATGCAAAGGAACCCACATTTTCTTACTTTCCTCATTTTGCCGCAGACTAATAAAAACGTCATTCCGGGCTGGCACAGGCATAACCCGAAATTTGGGAACTGTTCTAAAGAACACCCAGAGTGCTACAAAGCATTTGGCGTAATTTACATTTTAAACATTTGCAATATCAAGAGGTCAGAAGCAGATTATAAATAATGGGGAAAGGGAGATATAATATATTGATGATTTTAATCAATATCACTCACGCTTCCCAAGATTTGAGTCAGTCACCTCTAGTTTTCATGAAATGACATTTTGTCTGCTTACCCACTTTATACATTTTCTAGTGGTTCTGCCAAAATTATACAAATGGCATTTTTTTTCTGTCCCTGGCCCTTTATTTCATCAAAGAATGCAGCCTACACAGTAGGTGTATAACGCATATGCCACTGAGTGATTGTATCCAGAGGTACTCAGCCAACATTAATAAAGTGTAAAGCATGAATAGATCTTATACACATCTGTCATTGCAAAATAGAACATTCCATGATGATATGATGTGAAGCAATTTTCTGGCACACTCAGAAAGGAGCTGCAAATCCAAAGATCTTCCTCATTCTGAGGCCCTGAAAAAGCTATTTATTAATGGGCCCATAACCATATGGTTCCCAGAAAATTGCGCCATGTAGACACATTGCCCATTGCTCAGACTTATTTCCAAAGCCTATGTCCAAGGGCCTTTGAGATGCTGTTTGAATTCAGAAAGCCATTGGCTGGGAGGAAAGAAAGGCAGGGGAGGAAGTGTTGAGACACAAAGAAGCCTTTGCCTCTCTGGGGAACTAGCATGAGAGGATAGGCACCAGGGCATGTGACACATCGGGACCAAGTCACCAGTGCCTTTTGGAAAGGAACTAGCGCCTTGCCACTAGATCCTCCCCCACACACACCTGCAAACACTTCCAGGAGACTCCTCCCCCAGACCTTGTTCCTCTCTGGGCCAGTACAGAGTCCCACCCCTAAGAGGGTGACTAGGGTGAGCAATTTCCAGAAACCCAGGGTGGGTGCAGGCTTATGTGTGTGTGTGTGTGTGTGTGTGTGTGTGTGTGTGTGTGTCCTAACATTAGCTGACCTTCTGGACTAACAAGGCCAGAAAGGCCCAGCCCACCTCACCACCAAGCCCCGGTGCCAGAGAAGTGAACGTAAGCCAAGGCCTTCTTCTGTTCCTGGTGCCACTGTCTAGGTTTAGGATTTCGTTTTTGCTGGTGGGGGCGGTGATACTGGTGTGTTTTGCATTTGTAAATCTTCCAAAAATAACATCTTTTGGGGTTTCGTTTTTGCTGGTGGGGGCGGTGATATTGGTGTGTTTTGCATTTGTAAATGTTCCAAAAATAACATCTTTAAGCACTGGAATTGCATTGGACACATCAGAACTACCACGAGGAGCACAAGGGAACAGAGATCAACTAAGGGAAGAGTGGCTCTATATTACCCAGCTCAAGCATCTTTTACAGGCAGTGGTCGGCAAACTCATTAGTCAACAGAGCAGCAAACTGCAGCTCGTGAGCTGCAGTTTGCTGACCACTGTCTTAGGGAAAAACACTTAAAAAAAACATTTTAATAATGTACTAATGTCTTTAACCTGAAGTCAAAACTTCTGGGTAAGGGTAATGCCTTACGCAGTGGTTGGCAAACTCATTAGTCAACAGAGCAGTAAACCGCAGCTCGAGAATCACATTTTCCCCAGCACTGTTCTAGGACATCATGACTTTCCTTTTTGGCAGTGACCATTAAAGCAAACTGGGATATACCTTACTCCCAGCATCATCCTTTAAACTAAATGGATCTTTCCTGAGCCTATAGGCTTTGCATCCTTTTTCACTTCACCTAGATCCAAAAAAGTGATAGACACATAACTATTAATAGTATAGTCAAGTTATAACTTGGCCTTCTTTGGGTCATGATTGTTAGTGATAAGGAGCTGATTCTGGTCAAACCACTGATAGGTTTAAGGCAGAAGTTGTATATTATCCACAGTCCTTTTCATTTTGTTAGTTAGTCAGTTTTACTATCTGTCCCCTGTGGCTTCCTATTGTTCCATAAATTTGTGTCATTCTTATCTCCACTTTATCTCCTGAGTGGTTTGACCTGAGTGAGTGCCTAATTACTAACAATCATGGCCCAAAACTCTTGGTTTGTTCCTCAGAGCTATTTGTAACTGCCGTGCATGCCTATTTATACTTAACGTTCCAAGAATTTATTTTTTAAATCAAGGGACACACTTGCTCTGGTCAGTGTGGCTCAGTTGGTTGGGCACCATCCTCTGCACCAGGATGTTGTCCCTTCGACTCTCTGTCATGGTACATGCTTGGGTTGGGTGCTTGATCCCTGGTATGGGGCATGCAGGAGGCAGCCAATTGATGTTTCTCTCTCAGATCAATGTCTCTCTCTCTCTCTCTCTCTCTCTCTCTCTCTCTCTCTCTCTCTCTCCCCTCCCTCCCTCCTTCCCTCCTTTCCTCCTTCTCCCTTCTCTAAAAATCAATAAATTCTTCTTTTAAAAAAAATTAAGAGACACACTTTAGTTATGGAACAAACATAAATTTTACTCCGGGAACATTTATACTTTTATAACTCCTACATTAAACCCCTATCAGTTGCATCATGATCTAAAATATTATACAGTTAAGTCATTAAACACATCCAGAATTCTGGAAGAAAATAGATAAAACCATCCTTTTTATTTATTTTTTATTTTTTTTCTAAAGCCTCTGAGAGCCTCAGAGCCATCAGGAGAGTTTTGTGAAGAATGGTTTCTTGACCCTGTTCCCTCCCCCAATTCCTTCTATTCCCTAAGGCCACACTTTTTTCTCTCTGGGGCTCCCACTGGGCACCTCCTGTTTACCCAGAAGACCCTCTTCCTCCTCACACCTCCTGTCTTCCTCCCATCTCCTTGGTCTTCTTCATCTCTGTGTCCCATTGACTGCCAGATCCCAGCTCTTCTGCTGCCTCCTCTTGGTGCCTTAGCTGTCCCTCACCTGCTAGTTTCTCTGCAGAGTAAGATCCTGGGGCTGAAGGGAGTGAGGTGTGGGGAGCAGGGTCCCCACAGTTCAGAGAGATATTTCACAGATCTTAGACCAGTGATCACATGCAGAATTCCTAACAGAATATCTTCATCTCTTTCAATATCAGCCCTGTACACACCGGCTCCAAGACAGGAAAGGAGAAGGAGGAGGGAAACCATCCTGCCTTTTGTGACTCTGCCAACATTAAAAAGCTGCTAGGGGGCCGAAACCAGTTTGACTCAGTGGATAGAGCGTTGGTCTGTGGACTGAAAGGTCCCAGGTTCGATTCTGGTTAAGGGCATGTACGTTGGTTGCAGGCACATCCCCGGTAGGGAGTGTGCAAAAAGCAGCTGGTTGATGTTTCTCTCTCATCGACATTTTTCGCTCTCTGTCTCCCTTCTTCTCTGTAAAAAAATCAAAAATATATATATATTAGCCGAGACCGGTTTGGCTCAATGGATAGAGCGTCGGCTTGGGGACTGAAGGGTCCCGGGTTCGATTCCGGTCAAGGGCATGTACCTTGGTTGTGGGCACATCCCCAGTGGGGGGTGTGCAAGAGGCAGCTGATCGATGACTCTCTCTCATCGATGTTTCTAGCTCTCTAGCTCTCTCCCTTCTTCTCTGTACAAAATCAATAAAAATATATTTTAAAAATATATATACATATATATATATTTTTTTTTTCTTTAAAGTTGCTAGGGGGACCCAGTACCTAGAGCATTCGAAGCAAAAAGTCTCATTCTACAGAAAGGCATGCTCTGCCCTTCCCCTGACTTTAATGAAGAAGTGCTTTACCCACTTACCCAAAGCTTATTGCATTGCAAAATACGAAATTGTAGTACCTACAGAATCACACTCCATCAGCCAGATGATGAAGATGTAAATTATAAGTCTATGAGACACACAAACTTATTATTTTAAGTAATTTGTTTCTCGGGCTATGTTTATACCACAAAACAAAGTTAAACAGGAAGAAGTTGTATTTCTCTTCTGAAATAGCTGTATTAGCTGGGTGACTAGCATGGGGTTTGCCAGATGCAGAAATGCTCAATGTACAAGTCTCTTGAGAATGTACATGGCTATGGTGACTCAATGTGCCTGGGCCCTGGGCTGTGCCGAGCTGGTTATGGGGCAGCAAGAAAGAGCAAGGGGGGAAAAATGTCTCCAAAACTTTAGGCTGGGTGAAGCGAAGCTGAAGGATAAAAGAGGGGCGTGGAGGAGGCAACCAATGATTCTCTCTCGTCATTGATATTTCTATCTCTCTCTCCCTCTTCCTTCCTCACTGTGAAATATCTCTCTGAACTTGAGGACCCTGCTCCCCACACCTCACTCCCTTCAGCCCCAGGGTCTTACTCTGCAGAGAAACTAGCAGGTGAGGGACAGAGCTAAGGCACCAATAGGAGGCAGCAGAAGAGTTGGGACCTGGCAGAAATCGATAAAAATCTATTTTTAAAAAAAGAACAGTCAATGGAGTGAGTTGAGTTGGGGGGTGCAGGGGGAGACGAGTGGATTCAGAAAGAGACAGAAATGTGTGCCCAAGGCAAAGGAATCACATGTCCCCACTCCCTCCACCGTAAAGAGCAGGAGAGCAGAGTTTTGTTTTTTTGTTTTTTAAATCCACAGGTCTCTCAGAGAGGAGAACCACTGCCTCTTATACCTCCTTCTGGCATTGAAATGTATATCCTTCCCTAAAAAAAGGTGTTACTGTTATTAACACACCACCCCCACTAGCACAACAGCTGGGGACCCAGCTCTGATTCCCACTGCTCTTTGCACAGCGTATTCTGTACACACAGGCAATCAAGCGATTTGCTGTGCATATTGGCAGTGTGGGGAAAGTATCTTTATCCTCTCTGGAAAAGTTGAGAATGGATCGTATTCAGAGTCTCCCAAAGATTTGCCTTTGGGCGTTTAAAACATTTGAGCTCAAACCATGACTTGGCTTTGGTTTGTCTTTTCCAAGTTCAATTAAGCAGGTGAAAAAAGATGGCAGAATTTTATGTTTCATATGTGGCTTCTCTCTTTGTAAATAAATGGCCATGTAGTTTATTAGACAACTGAAATCAAGTTCATAACACTGATTGACTCAGTGAACCTGTATCGCCACCTGGGGGTACTGGGCTGGCCACATGGACATGGAAACAGGAATATGAGACAGATTGTGCCCCTACGAGTTTCCAATGGAGAGAGTCAAGACCTGGAAATAACTGTAAATAAGGCATCTGTGACCAGCTATCCAGAAAGACAGAGAGAAAGGAGCAGGCTAGCTTACTTATTGGTGGACACTCCAGGCTTTTCCACAAATCACTTTATGTAATCTTGGTTAAACTTCCTAATGTTTGTTCCTCTCTTATTGCTGACAGGATTGGATCAGATTAAATCAACTCCAGGTGCCTCAGCAACAGGACCACATTCATTCCTTTGGAGGCACTACATTCTGAAAAGGTTATTGTGAATAACAACAACAAAAGATCATTATATAAATGCAAAATGAAAATTAATCCCAGTCCAGAAACACTGCAATATGAATAGCTAGAGTCTAAAATTCTTTTGCCAAAAAAAATAAATAAATAAAATAAAATTATTTTGCAAAATTTTGGGTCAAGTCATCAAAATGCAACATTCTGGTTTTGGTAGCGACTCTGATAAGCCAACACCCTAATAGTTAGTTAGGTCACTAAGCCCTGTCCCAAGCCACAGTTCAGCTATGGGAGTGATATGAGTGAGGGTGGGCCTCCACTCCAGTAAGAACTATTCAGCTTTGGTTTGGTGTCTACTTATCAGGATTGTGCATCAAATTGTATCAAAGAGGGGAAGGGATTTGCCATTAGAAACCACTGGATTAAATAGTCTCTCAAGCCTCTGCCAGCTCAAAAACATTTGGATTCCATGATTCTCAGTGATAGCATCATGCATTCTCTCCTCCCTCAACCCTCCTGTACCCGCTCCATTTCCCTCTGGTAGGACGTGGATGGCCAAGGTCCAGGCCCGGCTTTTGCTCTCTGCCCATGCCCTCTAAGCCTCCAGCAGAGGAGCCTGGCCCCTAGTGACTCTCCCTCTCTCTGCTCCCCACAGGGTGGAGAACATGTCCATGAGACTGGAGGAAGTCAACGAGAGAGAGCACTGCATGAAGGCTTCACTCCAGACCGTGGACATTCGGTTGGCGCAGCTCGAGGACCTCATCGGGCGCATGGCCACGGCCCTGGAGCGCCTCACGGGCCTGGAGCGAGCCGAGTCCAACAAAATCCGTTCCCGGACCTCCTCGGACTGCACGGACGCAGCCTACATCGTCCGCCAGAGCAGCTTCAACAGCCAGGAGGGGAACACCTTCAAGCTCCAAGAGAGTATAGACCCTGCAGGTGAGGAGACCATGTCCCCAACTTCTCCAACCCTAATGCCCCGTATGCGAAGCCATTCTTTCTATTCGGTCAATATGAAGGACAAAGGTGGGATAGAAAAGTTGGAAAGTCTTTTTAAAGAAAGGTCCCTGAGCCTGCACCGGGCTACTAGCTCCCACTCCATAGCAAAGGAATCTAAAGCTCCTGCAGCCCCTGCCAACACCTTGGCCATCGTTCCCGACTCCAGAAGGCCGTCATCCTGTATAGACATCTATGTCTCAGCCATGGATGAGCTCCACTGTGACATCGACCCTCTGGACAACTCCATGAACATCCTTGGGCTGGGCGAGCCGAGCTTCCTGGCTCAGGTTCCTTCCACCGCTCCTTCAAGCAGTGCCTATGCAACTCTCGCACCCACAGACAGGCCTCCGAGCCGGGGCATTGATTTCGAGGACATCACCTCCGTGGACACGAGATCCTTCTCTTCAGACTACACCCACCTCCCGGAGTGCCAAAACCCCTGGGACACCGACCCTCCCACCTACCATGCCATCGAGCGGTCCAAAAGCAGCCGCTACCTGCCCAGCGCGCCCTTCCTGCTGGAGGAAGCTCCCATCGTGAAGTCGCACAGCTTTATGTTTTCCCCTTCGAGGAGCTACTATGCCAACTTCGGGGTGCCCGTGAAAACAGCAGAGTACACGAGCATCACAGACTGCATCGACACGCGGTGTGTCAATGCCCCGCAAGCGATCGCCGACAGAGCCACCTTTCCCGGGGGTCTCGGAGGCAAAGCGGAGGACTCCTCCTGCTGCCACCCGGAGAGAGAGGCAGAACTGAGTCACCCCAGCTCTGACACGGAGGAGGGCGAGGCCAAAGGCCGGAGAGCCGCCCTGGCCATCCCCTCGCAGGAGGGCGACCCCACCGCAGACAAAACCCTGTCCAACAACATCACGGTCCCCAAGATAGAGCGTGCCAACAGCTACTCCGCAGAGGAGCCCAGCGCGCCCTACGCCCACACCAGGAAGAGCTTCTCCATCAGTGACAAGCTCGACAGGCAGCGGAACACCACGGCCAGCCTGCGGAATCCCTTCCAGAGGAGCAAGTCCTCCAAGCCGGAGGGGGGCCGGGGGGACAGCCTGTCCATGAGGAGACTGTCCAGAACATCTGCTTTCCACAGCTTTGAAAGCAAGCACAACTAGCCTTTCCCACACAGCAATGCCAGAGGCTCAAGAAGAACCCAGCCCCAGAATCCTCCCCGAACCCCACCTGCTCCCCTTCCTCGAAACGCACCTGCTTTAGTCTTAGCTGAGCAAAAAACAAGCAATGCCTTAGGAGGTGTTCACTCAGAAGTGACCTCTGGGCCACAGATCGAGAAAGCATTTGATCTGGCCCAGTGCCAAACACGGGGGCTATGTCACGTTCACCCTTGACAGGCAGGGAGGGGGGAGAGAGGGAGAAGGAGGGTTGAGATAAATGTGTATCACTAGGCACTTCGGAAAGCCTCGAGCTCCGGGAAGGAAGGGGCTTCGCGCATTCTCTGTGCCAAGGAGGCAGGCGTCTTTCCATTTCTGACCATTATGAAGCGTTCTAGGATGCAGGGCTAAATTGCGAGATGAAATGAAATAAAGTGGCCAGCATACAAATGAGATATGCTAAACTTCAATTCTGTTTTCTTTTCACATTGGCTCCATCACTGGTGACTGATGAAGAGCATCCTTTTTATTCAGTATAAGCCGGCAGCAAGCAGTTCTACCTAACGTCCCACATCCTTCTCATGCCACCACCTCTGTAATTGATCATTGTAAAGAAAAAACAAGGTAACAGTCCTAGTTCACCTGTCTCTTATATATTCACTTCTGGTGCCACAACTGTTTATCTTTTTTTTAGAAGAAAATAAGGGAAAAGAAATGCCTTTCTGTATTGCGAGCGGAATGAACGAAGAATTGATGTTAAAAAAAAAAAAATGTCAAGTGCCCTATTATTTACAGTGGGCATTCAAGGATAGTCGAGCAAGCTCAGGATGAATGTAACTAAATAATTTTATATTTTTTAATTTATTTTGTATCTCACCTGTCATCAATGAATTCACTCACTGAATTCACTCACTGAATAACAGTGAACTAACAAAAAATATAGTGGGCAGCATGCGCCTAACATGGCCACATGGAATATTGCTGTATTCTCACCATCCATGTCGAGTGTTATGCTGCTGTGTAACCTTCATCGTGTGCATGCCTCCACCATGTCTTCTGAACAGATGTAACTGCCAATTTTTCACATCACTCATCACATGACCATTTTATATATGACTACCGGGTGGATATTTTCATACCTAGAGTTTTGCCATTCACTCTGAGCTCAGCATAAATTTAATCGGAGTTTTTCAAGGGCTGGTATCTTTTTTTTTATGGAAATGTTCCAAAGTACTTTTTAAGGAAGTCTCAAAACCATAAATAACCTTAGAATTGACTGGGAGTTTGGTATCAACCCAGAGCCATCAGATGCAGATATGCCATGAATATTTTTCTTATACAGAGCTATAAAAAAGATACAGTAGACTAAAATAGAAAGCAGACAAACCATGTAAAGAGTTGTAGAGACTATGCTGCTTATACACATATAAATGCATTTACACAGAGACATGTTATATATAGTATATAAACAAGCATACAGAGCTTTCTTAAGAGGCTTGGACTTTTCTATCGCCTTGAGGTATAACCAGGATTTTTAATAGCCAAGGAATTTCATTGAAAGAATTCATTATATTTCAACAAATGTTGATATTATACGTTTTAAAATCCCTATAACCTTAACTTTTCTTGTACCCAACTAGAGTTATCAAAATGACTTGCTACCTGCCCTTTACCCACCCCCATCCCTGCTCCAACCCCCCCCCCATTTTTTCCCCCCAAATGCAGTCACCATCATGACATCTCAATCAGTCTGGTTTCTTCTGCACAAAGAGATTCCCTCAAGTATAATCTGAACAGACCTAACTCTCACCCAGATAGTATTATGGGTTCTAGGTACCGGTATTCATACTTCTAGATAAGAGTCTGGATTTGAAGTGGGATAAAGAAATTTTGATCCTCAAATCTTTGGATTTCTGTTTGGATTACTGATTTTAAAAAAGAATAAGGTCTTGAAGGACAGTGACTGAATGTTCCTGGTCCCTAAACAAAATCTGGTTCTTTTGTTTAGTTGTAGTTGTGAACTTCCAATTTTCTCATCATGTGAAATCAAGTAAATATGAGGACAAAGCCTCTAGCCTTTTACTTTTTTTTAACCTCTAAATAAACTTTTCAGGTGTAGGAATAGTGATGAGGCCACATATAAAGAATTAAGAAATTCCTTTTTCACTCCTTAGTATTTAGGTGAATCAGAAACAAGCAACCAGAGTCCTTTATATATGACTACTCTAAAATTTTGAACCCAAATTGGCTATTTCTCCCTCAGCAAACATGCATTTGATCTGACAATAAGTCACTTCCCCTTAAGCTTCCTAGAGTCACGAATCTCTGTGAGGATCTGATGAAAGCTCTGAGCCCTTTCCCCAGGAAAAAAATGTCTAGACTTGAAAGTTGCAATGTAATTTTAAAGGGTTCCTCTACCCCTGCTTGCATATTGATTGATAGTGAGGCAGAGGAACCATGTTTGTTCATAATCAATATGGTTATAATAGGCACTTTACATTTTGAGACCAATTCTCTGTGATTCTCAGGAAGGCCAAGTCTTGACACCAGAGTTAGAAACAGGCTTTTGTTGTATTTGTTCCTTAGTTAGATGTTGCTAGCTGGATGTGCTCATGTCCTGACGTGGGGATGATTTTAAGTGTGGAGCACACTCACTCTGAAAGGAAGTCTAGAGGAATCCAGGAAGGAGGTGAAGGCAGTGCTCACTGACCACAGAGCAGCACCTCACAGCACTTCCCGGTTCTTATTCTGGACCAGATTGAAAGTGGGGGAAAGTCTAAGCCCGGTGTTTCCATCGCGCTTTCTGGAGCGAACAGAGCAGGACCTGGGAAACAAAATCCTTACCAGTTCTGACCCTGTTTTGTTGTTGTTGTTGTTGTTGTTGTTGTTCATGAAAACAAAGTTCCTTTGGGATGTGTGTGAGATATATAAGCCAAATTTCAATGATTTCAAACACATATCGTGTCACAGTCATGAGCCATTTCTTTCCCGTGCGCATATATGTGTTATGTTTTAATTCATTTCTTTCTTTTCTTGGATCCTTTGATGTGGCATCGATTCTGTGGCCTTGTACAGGCAGCTTGTGTGCCGCTCATGTATTCCGCCATGTCCCTGCCGGAGGGGACACTAATTACCTGTCTCTGTGAATGAGGCGGCTCACGAGCAGCAAGTTACTGAGGAGCATAAACAAAGTCATAGAGAACTCGAGGAAGGGATAGCTTTGGTTTAACCATTTGCTCCTACGGTGCCAATTTTTATATACTGCTATATGTAGTGATTTATTCTAAATTGCTTGGTCCTTTTGGGGGGAGAAAAAAAAAAGGATGTTTTATGAAAATGACTGTGGAAATTTCCTGACTAACCAAGATAGTTAGAGAGGCCCTCCTTAATGGATTTGAATGAGGAACTGGAAGGCTTGGGGACCATTACCACGGCTTGTTTGTGTATTTCTCCAAGCCAGACGATGTCTCAGCAGTCAGAATGCAGCACTTTATAGAACTGGATATTTTTTAAGTTTAGGCTCTAGGTCTAACATATTATTTAGCACTTTGAAAGTTCCCCCTTGAGCATATATAAATATATATTTGATTATATAATCAAATGGGAAGAAATGTACTTGTAAAAAACACAAAATGTGTTTCTTCTGAATGTCTCCAATATATTCTAAAAGATGGTTTCTATAGATAATGTCCTGGTGGATCACTAGATAGTGCATTTATCCTCCTTTCTGAGGCTGCGCAGTCTAACCTTCCTCAGTGTTGGGCTGTTTAACTTCCCCAATGATAATAAATATTATCCAGTCATCCATCATGCTAGGTCTATAGGCTGTACCATTCGACATGTTGGGCGATGCTGTACTATAAAATACATGTACACATGTATGTAACCCACGTTTAACCCAGCATAGTTGTAGCATGTGGTTGTATTAATGAGCATTACAGGACATTAGCTCTCTAATCATTTACAAATCTGTAACGTTCAATAAAGAAACACATGTTGCAAGGATTAATCATGTCCCCAGTTCCATGTGGCTTGGCATCCTCATGAAATGGGCACTTCCGTCCCTGACCTGCTTTATGTTTTTCACTTTCCTGTAGACCACTGTACAATACTTGTGTAAGCCGATGTGCAGCCTCTAATCAGTCCTGCGAGTTGTGCTAGGCACGTTTGTGATTTTGTGAAAGACGAACTGGCATGTTATGCACAAGACTATCTGACAAATGAACTTAAACTAACATTTTAAACTCCAGTCTAATTAGCTGTTTGTTTACCTCTGCTGACCAGATGTGGAAGCAATGTACAGTATTTTATAAATATGCTCATTTAGTAGCACTACTATGTTGTTTCTAGATACAGTGATGCTAATGTGTAGGTGGTACTATACTTGTTTTAGATACTGCATTATAACTCTCTCTTCTCTAATAGCAATGTGACTTAAATGAAGTAATCCTGCTCAAACCCAGTCTTCATTTTGTGGCAACAGAATGCATGCACGGCTTTAGGCGTTTCTTTTGACTTCTTAAAGGCACTTTGCCTTTTACTCCTGCCTGCTGCGACACTGAAACCAGTTAGGAGCCCACTCAGATAGTTGGGCTTCTTAAGTTTGGAGATTATGTTCAAGTTTTAGAAATTAAAAACAAAAAAAGTTACCATAGGGTTTTTTTTAATTTTTTTTTAAGCTCTGAACAAATAATATGAAATAAATTATTAACCACAGGGTTATAGCTATGGGGCCTGGAGGTGGCTAGCCAACACCTCTTGGGTTTACTGCAGTCTAGGTGTTGGAGCATCTGTGATACAGGAAAGACACCTTTCTGACTCTTCAGGGCCACTGGGTACCAATTGCTAAAACAGAAGAGATGAGAGTGAGAAGAGCATTGATGACAGTGCAGAAATGCGCAGACCAGTATGAATGAGTGAGTGGTCCAGTGATGTATGACTTCCCTCCTACCTGGTGGCTTTTCTCTGGTAGCTGAGCCTTGCCGGGGGGGGGGGGGGTGGGGGGG